GTGAATAGCAAATGCGTAAAGGGGTTAAGAATGAATGTCCTTTTAGTAATTAAACAGTCATATTAGTCACTTAAAAATCATAACAATCATATGTGGTACATCCCATAGCAAAATGGTACAGTAGATCTTAATAGACCGAACAGTCAGTTGATGGCCATTATAACAGTAAACAGTAGTAGTTCCAAACATGGGAATCGACAGAGATCTCTGTGATAGTAGCAGTAATAGCACAGTAACAGTAAATTGCTATGGATGCCACGGTTACAGTTTACAAATAGGACAAACATTCATTCATTAAACAATAACGTTTCAGTAAGCGGAACAGTTGATCATTCAGAAAATATTCATGATTGAATTAGAAAAGAACGAGAGGGAGAAGGATCCATGGTGTCTTCACCATTTCTTCGCCACTGAATGTAGCATAAGGTCAGACAAGTGCAGATTTATCTCAGTAATAGACTACTTCCTTGGTGCATGACTCCACACACAGGCCAAAGGAAATCAATTCAACAAACAAAATATTTACAATTAACTAAATCCCATATGACAGACGATGTTGCAAATTTCATTTATGAAACCTCACTGATCCCATTTCTTGAGAACGTAGAAATGATTTTCCTAAACCCCTTCAAAAACAAAAACAAAAACAAAACAAAACGAGAGAGAGAGAGAGAGAGAGAGAGAAAGAGAGAGAGAGAGAGAGAGAGAGAGAGAGAGAGAGGGAGAGAAGGTTTCTGCATAAGGTCTGCAGAATAGTTCCTGAGCCTACCTCCTAAAGATGAATAAGAAACAATAGGTTGTTGTGTCCTCTGTTCATTAGTTGACAGATTTCTTTCCCTTTTCTTTTGATCTTGAGGTTATTTGGACCATTTGTTGGGAAGGAAGGCAAAGCGCAGCATGGAACCTTTCTATGAGCCTTTCATTATCATTTTCATTAAGATTCAGAACAAGTTTCCTCTTACTGTGTCTTCTCAGCAATCAACTAGAGCCTTAGAGGGTTAGCATATGGGTTAGCAATAGGATGAAAAAGAACATGATAATGTAGTAGATAACAGTTTGCTGCATTTGCTACAAAGAAGACGAGAAGAGAACATAAAAGATGAAGCATTTGATGTGATGAAGTGCTCTAACATTGCTAGACAAAAATCATAGCAGGATGTTTTCAGTCCTGATAACTTTAATCCATCAGACCTCAAAATCTAGTAGTTCTTGGCTGTAGATGACTAAACCAGACAAAACAAATTTCCTTTTGTCATAAGTCCATAATGACCAAGTTTCATGACTTGCAATGCAGATCTCGACATTTATAAGGTCTGCAATTGTACCAGATTAGATCATTCATGCCCTCTTTCTCAAATTTAACACCGTCAATTTGGTTAGCTATTTAACCAGGACAAAACAAATAACACATGCATGTAGCATCACTGAAATGACCATTTTCAAAATTGCCTGGTGAGATAAGCACTTAACAAGTTAGCATCATCAAAAAAATGGTATATCAATATTGATGAACTGAAGTCCTTGAGTCCTTCCATGGTAAATTCTGCTTAAAAATGCAAATGGGTACACTTAATTAGTACTAGAGTTAATGCACACACCAATCAGTTAACTAATTCCCAACTTCTCTCTATTTGCAACAAAACAGGAGCTCAAGTTAAAAATTTTAGTTGATTACAAACCTGATAAAGCCTCTTACAGAAGCAATAACCCAAATAATTTAATTGAGACAATTGTATTTTGAGGAAAATTGAAAATTGACAAGACTTCAAAAGTGGGAAACACCAAAACATTATTCTCTGTTCAGTCAATCATAGATTCACAACAAGATCTAAATAGACCCTGAATCTTCGATTTCTCATTATTTGGTATATGACAACCAAAAAAAAAAAATGAATCTCTACTCATCAGAGCATAATACTATGGATTTTTCGTTCTTTCAACTTTCAAAGCAACCAAAATATTATAGCTTTCTTCTTTTTTATATTTCTTTGTGGAATCTTCCCAATAATTAGAAACCTAATGCATTTTCACATATTTCATACAATATTTACAATTTTTAGAGATATTTTCGTACACTATTCACATACTTCTACACAATTTTTACACATACATCGCAACTAATGACTATAAATCAGAGATATATCTGATATATATATATATATATAAAAAACAACCATCGGGCCGAGAGAGACAGAGTTTACCTGTGAGTAGATCGGCGGTACGATGATTGGTGCGAATCGATGAGATGAGCAACGAGAGAGTAAGAGAGTGATCGGTGCAGAGATGAACGAGATCAGTGCAGAGATAAACGAGAGGGTGAGAGAGAGAGAGAGAGGCGACTGAGAGAGTGATCGGTGCAGAGATAAACGAGAGGGTGAGAGAGAGAGAGAGGCGACCGAGAGAGTGATGTGAGGGAGACGATTAGATTTAGGGTTTTTTTTGGTTCTAAAGAGATTGGGGATTTTGGGGCGCGGGAATGGAAAAAATGAGGGGAACCGAGCGGGCGGGATGAAAAAAATAAAAAAAATAAAAAAATAAAATAAAATAAAATAATCATAAATAAATATTTAAATAATAAAAATAAATAAATAATAATTTTTATTTTCTTTCCGTTATTAAAGTTGATTTGTTTCATATATATTTTAATGAAAAATATTTTCACTAAAATAAAAGTTAATTTTCTGTAGTCAATGAAAAATATTTTTCTGCGGTCTATTTTTTTTTATTACTAAAAATCATAAACTAATTTTTTGTGGTAGATGAAAATGAGCGGCAGTAGTGGTGAAGGTGGTGGATAAGAGATGATGGTGGTGGCTTTAAGTATGGAGAAAAAATTATTTTTTAGACTAATTCACAATTTATACATCCCGTGCACCTGTACAAATTGGGTGTCCTATGCATGTTTCCATTACTTCCTAATTCTTCAAACATATATTCTTTTATAAAATTTGTTATATTAAAGTTAATATACTTTACCAAAAAGTATGTCCCTTAGTTACAGGAATCGTGCAACTAGGTGGCGATTCGCGATTTTGAGAATCGCGATTCCGGGATTCCTAGAAAGAAACATGTAAGAATCGCGTTTCTGTGGAGAGAGAAACGCGATTCAGTTCAAGATGAGATCGTAAAGGGGAGGGAGAGAGAGAGAGAGAAACCCTAGCCTTCGACGTCGACATGAGAGGAGAAAGAAGAATGATTGTTGAGAGAACTTACAGTGGACCAGTGTTGAGATTAGGGCTTTGATTGTCTTCGTCACTCTCTTCTCTCACTATTGATCACGATCGTCTTCATCTTTGAGGGCTTCGATCATCTTCGTCACTCTCTCAATTGTCTTCGTCTCTCTCCTTCTTTATCTCTCTATTCGTTGTTCTCTCTCTCTCTCTCTCTTCGTCTCTATGTTTAATTGATCATATATAATATATAATATATAATATATATAATTTATCATATTTAATATATATAATAAATATAATTTATGTAATAAATTTTATAAATTATAATTTTTATCATATATAATAAAATTTCTAATTGTTATTTCTTAAAATATCATATATAATAATAATTTTTGTAAATTATTATTTCTTAACTTTTTAACATATAATAAATAAAATAAATTATCTAATTATTTAAAAGAAATCTAATTAAATCACATATAATAAAAAAATTATAAAACAAAATATCTAATTCGAGTCCCGTCTTCTCCCACAAGTCTCTCGTGCCTAGGCGGTCGTGTGTGCCAAGTTTCGTGCTACTCTGACGTCGTTTGGTGATTTTGGGACGTTAACACTTCGAATTCTAAGTTTCTTAAGAAATTAGTTTGTCCAAAGTAAAATTCGGCTCTAACTCCCAAATCGGGAACCCAATTCGAGTCTCGTCTTCTCCCACAAGTCTCTCGTGCCTAGGCGGTCGAATGTGCCAAGTTTCGTGCTAATCTGACGCCGTTTGGTGATTTTGGGGCGTCAGCACCTCGAATTCTAAGTTTCTTAAGAAACTAGGTTGTCTAGAATAAAATCCGGTTCTAACTCCCAAAGCGAGAATACGATTCGAGTCCCGTCTTCTCCCACAAGTCTCTCGTGCCTAGGCGGTCGTGTGTGCCAAGTTTCGTGTTATTCCAACGCCGTTTGGTGATTTTGAGCCGTTAACCCCTCAAATTCTAAGTTTCTTAAGGAACTAATTTGCCGAGACCAAAATCCGGCTCTAACTCCCAAACTGGGAACCCGATTTAAGACCGGTCTTCTCCCACAAGTCTCTCGTACCTAGGTGGTCGTGTGTGCCAAGTTTCATGCTAATATGATGCCGTTTGGTGATTTTGGGGCGTTAACACCTCAACTTCTAAGTTTCTTAAGGAATTAATTTACCGAGACCGAAATCCGGCTCTAACCCCCAAACCAAGAACCCGATTCGAGTCCCGTCTTCTCCCACAAGTCTGTTGTGCATAGGCGGTCGTGTGTGCCAAGTTTTGTGCTAATCCGACTTCATTTGGTGATTTTGGGACGTCAACCCCTCAAATTTTAAGTTTCTTAAGGAACTAGTGTGCCGAGACCAAAATCCAGCTCTAACTCCCAAACCAAGAACCCAATTCGAGTCCCGTCTTCTCCTACATGTCTATCGCGCCTAGGCAGTCGTGCGTGCCCAGATTGAACTAGTTTGCCTAGACCAACATCATTTTGGTAAAGATCCATCATGTGAACATGAAACTAGTTTTTTCAAGTCACCAAATAAATGCTACATACACTACAATAAAAAAGGGTAAACACAAGAACCTAAAGTGTGAAGGAAAATAAAGCAGTTTAATTTGCGACGGCAGAAAATACCGTCGCTAATACTCTCATTTTTTGAGACGGCAAATAGTGCCGTCGCAAATGCTCTGCTTTTTTGAGACGTCAAATGGTGCCGTCGCAAATACTCTGCTTTTTTGAGACGGCATTTTCTGCCGTCTCAAAAAGTGACTTTTTGAGACGGCATTTTCTGCCGTCTCAAAAAGTGACTTTTTGAGACGGCAAGTGTGCCGTCGCAAATAGTTCCGTCTCATATACCCAGTTTTCTTGTAGTGATAATACCTTACAGTAGATGTAAACTCTCGGTTGGGTAAATTGGATAGAAACAAAACAAGGTGAGAAGTCCATGAGAATTTTGGAAATTTTATATTCAATTTGATCAATGAATGAATGTTTACAAACACTTCTCCAGTATGTCCATGTCCCACATAAACAACATATACCATCTGATGTTATTGGTAAATAAACACATACTAGCACAAGAATATACTGTCTCCAGTTACAAAATCTTGCAATCATGCTCATAATAAACAATTAGCAGTGTCAAAAATCCTATAAATAGAAAGACTGATGGACATCCAATGGTGTCCTTGAACTTTGGAACACTAATACTTGGTCTCATTGATGCATGTTAACAAACAAAAGGTACATGAACACTAGACCACCAGTTGGCACTACCATGCCCAACATACGAATATAATAAATTGTCAAATGTTATAGGTAGATAAAAAGCATAATAAGGATATGTGTATGTCATTGAGTATCACCTAGTAGCAAAATCTGTTCAGAAATCTAATAGTTATCTTTTGAAAAATAAAATTAGAAAAAAGAGAATCTATAAAATTATACACATAAAACTAAAGTAATGTTTGGTGTCCATTAAAAAAAAAAATACTTGAATGATCACATACTTGCCACAGAAGAATCCTTTGAGTCGGAGCACCTGTAGGCACACCCTCCGGCCACATTGGGATGACAATATATGCAGAAAATCTCTCTGCTCTGATTTTATTTGCAATTTTGAGAGCAGTTTCCATTCGTATTAAATTTTTTGCACCTGTGGATAATAAGAAACATATATATCATCCTCAAAATGCTCACTTTCACTGTCTAAAAAACTTGTAATTTCACAACAGCCACCCTATTTTTCCTCAAGATTATAATGTTTTTATTTCCCTTGTCACATTTGTTTCAGCAAGCAACCAGAGCATGAAAAATGAAGAAAATGAAAACTAGGGTAATGAGTTAGATATTAACCATTACAAGCAGCTGATAGTGCATAATTTCCACAACAAATGACAATATATGAGTTATTGTATACTCGGATACCTATATATAATTTTCACATTACAACTTTTAATATGTGATAGTAACAACATATCCTTATTTTTTCCCTATCAGTTTACCCTAAATGTCAATTCCTCACCCAAGTCTCTGTGGTTAGTCCAATTGTATGATGACCCAAGGAAGTACTGGTTCTCGATGTAAATGAAATGTTGGCCAGCACAGATTGCCTTTACATATGCAGTATGTATACTCATGTCTATTAGGACATTCTTCCCATATACCAGGTCCTGTTATAATGAAGGGAAGATATTAAGAAGCACACCTCATAAACAAGATTGCCGGAAAAATAATCAAGGGGCAAATCACAATCAAAATTTTCTCGCACCCTGCTTGTGGCATCTTTTGGGACTTTTGGAAACCCCTTCACAGAATTGGAATCAATTGAACGAAAAAACTATAATTTTTAAATAAGTTAGTTAATAAAAATTAAGTATTTAATAATTTTGAATATCTAATTTAACAGCCTTCATAAACTAACATACCTGGACATGCCAAGCTTCTGGACCATCCTTATTTAGGCAAGACACATCTGTAATTCCAATGATGTCGGGAATTCTATCAATTATGAGTAGTAAATTAAGCAAACACATATAAACCATGAAACAAATGAGGCAGCTTTTACTTGAGGGAGTCGAATTTGGAAATTAAGAGCGAATTTGGAGATCACATAGGGTCGTCGACCTAGAGCATGAGATTCAAGTCTTGAAGATAAAAAAAATAAAATATAAATAAATAAAGTGTGAGAGAGAGAGACAAGAGAATACATACCAATGTTAGGGTTTACGAGGGCAACAACTTGCTCAGCAAATTCGAGCTCTCTAGAATCCCTGGTTCCTTATATTATAGTGTGTTTCGACGTTGATGCTCTGCAGATTCGAGCTCTTGCCGATGGAGGAGTTGGGATGAGAGTGAGATGAGTAGCGGAGTCAGAATGAGAGTGAGATGAGTAGCGCGAAGATAGAGATGGAGAGAGAGAGAGAGAGAGAGAGAGAGAGAGATTTGAACGTGAAAATGAGAGAAGAGGGAAAAAGAAATTATAGGCGCCAAAGGTTTGAGGAAAATTGGAAAAATTGGAGATTTTGGACTATTTGTGAGAATATATATTGATCACATTTATGGGATTTTATTTATTTTTTGTTAAAATAAATTTTAGTTACTAAGGTTGAAAATTTATTTGTTTCATTTTTATTTTAATGAAAAAATTTATTATTATTATTATTTATTTGGTAGAAGTAGGGGTAATATTCTAATAAAAAATATTTTCTATTAAAATAAAGTTAATATTTTGTGGTCAATGAAAAATATTTTTCTGCGGCCCATTTTTTTTTTGTTACTAAAAATCAGGAACTAATTTTTTGTAGTAGAGGAAAGGGAGCGGCAGTAGTGGTGAAGGTGGTGGATAAGAGGTGATGGTGGTGGTGGTGGTGGTGGTGGTGATGGCGAAGGAGGTTAGTGGTGAAGTTGTGGTAGTGGTAGTGGTAAAGGAGATGGAGTGGCGTTGGTGGAGGAGAGGTAATGGTAGTAGTAGTGACAGTAGTGGTGGTAGTAGTAGTGGAGTGGTGGCGATGGTGGTAGTAATAGTAGTTGTAAAGGTGGAGTGGCAATAATGGTAATAGTAATGGTAGTAGAATGGCATTTGTAGTAGTGGTGAAGGTGGTAGAGAAGATGGGTGGTAAAAGAGAGAGATAAGTGAGAGATAGATAGAGATGGGTGGTAAGAGAGAGAGATAAGTGAGAGATAGATAGAGATAGAGAAAGAGAGACAGAGACAGAGACAGAGTGATGAACGAGAGTGAGAGAGAGATAAAGTGGTAGCTAAAAGTGCATTTTCTTGTAGTGGATCTATAAATCGAGAGGGAGCTCGGTAAATAAAGAAGAGGAGAGGAAGGGAGTGAGCAAGGCATACTTAGTGGGGGAGAGAGAGAGAGAGAGAAAGACAAGCAAACAGACAAGAAGACAGAGAAAGAAAGAGAGAGAGGAGAGTGATAAGTGAGAGAGAGAAAAAGAGAGAAAAGAGATGAACGAGAGAAAAAAACATAGAAAGATAAAGAAAAAGAGAAAGAGAAAGAGAGAGAGAGAAGAGAGGTGAGCGAGAGAGATAGAAAGAAGAGAGATGAGCAAGAGAGATAGAGAGAAGAGTATGAGCGAGAGAGACAGAGAGAGAAGAGAGAAGAGATAAGAGAGATGAGAGAAATAGAGAGAAGAGAGATGAGCGAGAGAGACAGAGAAAGAAGAGAGGTGAACGAGAGACACAGAGAGAAGAGAGAGAGAGAGAGAGAGAGAGAGAGACAGACAGACAGACAGACAATAGTGATGAGTAAGAGAGAGAAGAGAGAGAAAGAGAGACAGGAAGATGAAAAAATGGGTGAAAAGATAAATGTTATATTAAAAGAGTAAGACGGCGTCGTTTTTTTTTTATTTATTTTTTTTGCGATAGAAAAATACAGTTGTATTTATTCAAATCATTCTGTGACTGTATATATATGAAGTCGTCTCAAAGCCACAATATATATTTTTTGGGGGATAAAATAAGTCATCTAACTCCTCTATATACTAGTTTAAGATGGATTATTTTAATCACATAAAAAAATAGAAATTATATTTGAAAATTATTCCTATATAATATGCTATTACATACAAATATACTGGTAACAAATTAATATATATATATATTAAAAATTATACTAAGCTTTCATTTTCAATTAATTGAATTATGATTAACAAAATAACAAAAAGCATTAATGGTATAATAGGATAGAAAGAGGATAAAAATAAAAAACACAATAATATTTAAAAGTTTTAAATTTACCTAGTTATACAAAAATCTAATATTATAGTAAAATCTTGAATTTCCAATAATTTTTCACATTTTCTATAAAATAAAATGACAATAAAAAATAAAATGACATTTTCTATAGGGATTAAGTGTGAGACATATGAGAGGGGCTCTAGTGCGAAAATAGAAGAAATGGTTTACAGAGTGTCTCCTTGCTTCACGACTTCAATACTTGTGAGAGAGGAGTAGGCTCAAGTGCGAGAGAGAAATGAGGGTTTGTAGGAAGTGTCTTCTTGGGTCACGACTTGAGTGTCCGTGCACATGAAAATGAGTGATAAGGGTCAGAGTGTGTCTCTTGGGGTCACGGTTTTAGTGCTCCGAAACACAAAACCATAGCATATTAATAAAGAGAAATAATTAGTGAAAAAATGTTTTTGTCTTCTTAAATACAAGAACAAAATACAAGAACATAGAATTTATTATTGGTGACGAAATATTTTTGTCTTCCACAACATAACCTTATGAGACGAAAAATATATTCGTCGCGTAATCAATCAGAATTTATTAGCAACGAAATATTTTCATCTCCCACAACTTATTCTTCTAAGACAAAAATATATTTGTTGCCCATTTAATAGAAAGATGAAACGGTATCGTTTGCATGATGGAGTGTTTATTGGTGACGAAATATTTTCGTCTTCCATAACTTATCATTCCTAGACAAAAATATATTTGTCGCCTAATAAATGGAAATATGCAACGACATCGTTTAATAGGTAGGGAATTTATTGGTGACAAATTACGTTCATCGCAAAATATATATATATATTGTGACAAAAATGTTCGTCTCCAATGAGCTAAAACAATTTACGCCAATGCAAATGAAATTGGCGCCTAAATTTTGCAGATGAAATTTTTTTTGTCTCCTATACATTTGAGAAAAATTAAAACAAACGACAAAATTAATATTTTGTCATCTTTGGGTTAAATTTTAAGACAAAAAATTTCGTCACCAAATTTTGTCACAATAGCCCAGATTTCTTGTATTTTGTTTTCTTGTTTAATTATTGTTATTATTTTTTCTTTTTGTGGAGAGGGGTTTATTGTGAGAAAGAATAGTAGCTTTGCACAAAATGTCGTCTTGGATAATAATGTTTGCATGCACAAACGGCTTAAATATGAGAGAGAATAGAGGAGCTTCAGTGCGAAATAGAAGAGATGGTTTATAGAGATTGTTTTCTCGAGTCACAGCTTCAATGCTTGTGAGAGAGGAGACTCAAGTGCGAGAGAGAAATGAGGGTTTGTAGAGGGTGTCTTTTTGGGTCACGACTTTAGTGTTTGTGTGTGTGTGAAAGTAAGTGACTAAGGTGAGAGAGTCTCTTAGTTTTTGACGACATTTTAATAAAGAGAAATAATTAGTGATAAAATATTTTCTTCTCAAACTCATATGTTCGTTGCCTAATCAACAAAAATACAAAAATAACGTTGTATGGGGATGGAGAATTTATTGGTGATGAAATATTTTCATCTCGTTCAACTTAACCTTATGAGATGAAAATATATTCGTCGCGTAATCAATCAAAATGCAACAAGACACATGGAGAATTTATTAGTGACGAAATATTTTCGTCTCCCAAAACATATCCTTCTGAGACAAAAATATATTTGTCGCATAATTAACAGAAAGATAAAACGAGCATGAAGAGTTTATTGGTGACGAAATATTTTCATCTCCCATAACTTATCCTTCCCAGGCAAAAAATATATTTGTCACCAAATAAATAAGAAAATGAAACGACATCGTCTAATAAGTTTGGAATTTATTGGTGACGAATTCCTTTTGTCGCAAAAAACTTTAAATTTTGTGACAAAAATGTTCGTCTACAATGAGCTAAAATAATTGGCGCCAACAAGAAAAAAAATTAGCGCCTCTTTTTTTTTCTGACAAATTTATTTTTTCGTCTCCTATAATTTTGAGAAGAATTAAAAGAAACGACAAAAGTAATATTTGGTCATGTTTAGGTTACATTCTAAAATGAAAATAAATTTTATCACCAAATTTTAAAAATTAATTATTGAAAACTTCATACTAAATAAGGTAATGTTTTTCTATTAATTTCAAAAATTACAAATTTTTTATTATTTGTCTCTCTATATTTTTTCTCACAAAAAAAAAAAAGCTACATTAATTATCTTTTTTTTTTTTTTTTGTGGAGAGAGGTTTTGACCTTCGATTTTTCTGAAATGGGTGTTTTTGATTTTTCTGAAATAGGTGTTCTAGACGGAAAGGGTAGAGTTGGTTCAGACAATGAGAAAAAGTGCTTGCGTACATAGGGTGCCTTATTGGATAATAGCTTCAATGTTGGCATGCACGAAGGGCTTAAGTGTGAGACAGAAGAGAGGGGCTTTTGCGCGAAATAGAAGAAATGGTTTATAGAGTGTCTTCTTGAGTCACGACTTCCATACTTGTGAGAGAGCAGTAGACTCAAGTGCGAGAGAGAAATAAGGGTTTGTAGAAAGTGTCTTCTTGGGTCACGACTTCAAGGTCCGTGTACATGAAAATGAGTGATAAGCGTTAGAGTGTATCTCTTGGGGTCACAGTGCATTTTAATAAAGAGAAATGATTAGTGATAAAATATTTTTGTATCCTTAAATACCAGAACAAAGAATTTATTATTGGTGATGAAATATTTTTGTCTTCCACAACTTAACCTTATGAGACAAAAAATATATTTGTCACACAATCAATTTGAATTTATTAGTGACGAAATATTTTCGTCTCCCACAACTTATTCTTCCGAGACAAAAATATATTTGTCACCTATTTAATAGAAAGATGAAATGACATTGTCTGCATGATGTAGTGTTTATTGGTGACGAAATATTTTTGTCTTCCATAACTTATCCTTCCTAAACAAAAATATATTTGCCGCCTAACAAATGGAAATATGCAACGACATCGTTTAATAGGTATGGAATTTATTGGCGACGAATTACGTTCGTCACACAAAAAAATTATATTTTGTGACAAAAATGTTCGTCTCCAATGAGCTAAAATAATTTGTGCCCATACAAATGAAATTGGCGCCTCATTTTTGCAGACGAAATTTTGTTTTCGTCCCTTATACTTTTGAGAAAAATTAAAACAAGCGACAAAATTAATATTTCGTCATCCTTGGGTTAAATTTTAAGACAAAAAAATTTCGTCACCAAATTTTGTCACAATAGCCTGGATTTCTTGTAGTGGTGGGTCCAAAATCTGGAATTTCCAG